ACCAGCCACTGGACTGTGCCCTGCGCACCGTCCCTGGCTAACCTGCCCCGGGGGGGAGTGAGAGCCGCAGTGACCCTCCGAGCTGGGGCTGGTGCACCTTCCTCGACTCCTCTAATCCGCCCCTCTTTTGATTGATTTGTGCGTGTCTCAAATAGCCTCCTTCTGGGCTCAATCTGCCAGGTGAACTTCTCTAGAGTCTAGAGACCTTCCCTTTGGGCTGACTTTTGACCCAGGGAGTGATAACGGTGTTCTGACTACTCCTAAAAATGTTGTTCTGACTACTTCGGTGCATGGAAATCTCTCAGACAACTGTCAAATATGGAACTGGCCACAACAGGGAAATTACTGTGCTTCTTTAAAAATAACATTTTAAAATTAGGCAGATACAAGCCATAGCTTTTTTTTAAGCCTCTGTATATGTACAATAGACATTTTATACACTACATCAGTGCCTGCCGTGAAATAGGCTTGTGCCATTCCATAATGCCATAGCCAGGTATTTTGCATGTGGGAAAAATGCAAACTAAGGGAGCCCTTTTTTATTTTCTTTGAGGGCACTGCAGGGTGGCAGGGGGGGGGGGAAAGGGGAACAGATCTGCATGCAGAACTGACCTCCCAAATACTTATGTATGTGTGTACCTTTTAAGTGCATGAAGTGTGGGTCAAATCTCAAGTTATACACAAAAGTCTTTGTACACTCCCGGCTTAAGTTTTGTAAGATGCTGTGAACATATAAATCCCTAAGGGTATGTCTACGCTACCCTGCTAGTTCGAACTAGCGGGGTAATGTAGACATACCGCACTTGCAAATGAAGCCCGGGATTTGAATTTCCTGGGCTTCATTTGCATAAGCGGGGCGCCGCCATTTTTAAAACCCCGCTCGTTCGAACCCCGTGCAGCGCGGCTACACGGGGCACGAACTACCGTTACTCCTCGAGGAATGAGGAGTAACGGTAGTTCGAACTAGGAAGCCTAGTTCGAACTACCTAGTTCGTGCCCCGTGTAGCCACGCTGCACGGGGTTCAAACGAGCGGGGTTTTAAAAATGGCGGCGCCCCGCTTATGCAAATGCAGGCCGGGAAATTCAAATCCCGGGCTTGATTTGCAAGTGCGGTATGCCTACATTACCCTCCTAGTTCGAACTAGGAGGATAGTGTAGACATACCCTAAGTAAATAAGTATTCTAGAAAGTGTTGCAGTTCAAACACAATGGATTGTGTAACATCAAACTACACAGATTTCTTCTCTTAATTTCTTTGGAGTTTTGTAACAGATTAAGTCACACGTGTTTGTGGCACATGGGAAGTATCTAAATTAAGGTCTTTGCAACATTGTCACTTACATTGCAGATAGGTAATATTTTATTACTTCTGAAGCTAATGGATGTATGTGATACCTAAATATATACAGTATCTTCTGGCTGGTATAGTCTTAGATTTATGATTTAAGAGTAAGAAACTATTTCTGATGGTGCAAATGATTTCATTTTCCCTCCTTCATTTTCAGACAAACAGAGAAATGTCCCACTCTGAAAACAAAAGCCTGATATTGGGCATCATGGCAGGGGCTGCTGGAATAAGTTTGGTCCTGGTTTGGTATCATAAGATCCGAAAACCTGGGGCAATTGTGAAATTGCCTGCATTTCTGGATTTACACAACAAATTTAATTCTGTGGATTTGCAAAATGAAACTCGTAATGAGCAAGGAAGACAGCTTCAGATACTGGAAAAATTGAATGGCTTACTATTGAGTGTAGAAGAACTGAAGAGAGAGGTGAAGTTGCTTAAAGAAGCTGTTCCAAAGCTGGAAGAGCTTGTTCGAGATGAGCTGCAAGGAAAGGCTGATGTTCGGCGGATTAGTCCTTCACACAGAGCAACGAAAAGAAGAAGAGCAGAGACAGCATATAGTGCAACAGAAACCACCAGCTCTGAGGAGGCAGACAGTGAAGGAGGGTAAGTCTTTAAAATATTTCATGCACAATACACCTTAAAATAGGCATGCAAACAACATTTTAGTACCATATATGTAGATATATGTTCTGTAAACAGCAGCCTAATTTATGTTTCATGTGTAGTCATTAAATATTCTGTATCTCCGCATCTGAAAAAGTTTTCCAAATCAGTAGGACCAGATCCTGTACCCGGCTCTGGCTGATTTGCACAGACCTTCTGAGAATATCTTAATTTCGATGAAATTTTGGTCAGAAGAAAATGAAGCATTTTGGGACAAGTGGGATAGAATGGTTCAACATTTTGTTTCAACATTACTTTTAATTTTGAAATTTATTATTATATAAAATTTTGGAAGTCAACATCAGAATAAAATGTTTCAATTTTAATACAACTGTCCCATTTTGATTGACTTGAAACATTTTTTTCCAAAATTATATTTTTCCTGGAATTTTAAATTTTTTGGGTTTGTTCCTATTCAGAATGAAAACAAATTCTGAAAAAAAAATGAAAAATTATATGTAACATAATTTGTAGCTCCTACACAGCACTGCTCTTAACTTTCTCTTGGAGGCATCCCATATCACCACTGCATCAGATGGGATGTTTAAAAAGAAGCTCCTTCTGAAATGTGTCAGTGTGCATAGCTCTTAATACATTTAAAAGGCTAAAGGGCAGTGGTGGGGAGGGACCAGGCGCGAGCCGAGACCAATGATTCCTGGCTCGTGCCCAGTCCCCTCGCCATTGCACCTCTGCTTTTTAAATGTATTAAGAACCTGGCAGCTCCTAGTGGTTTTCCGTCTCACACCTGGTCCCCTGCTACGCCTCTGCCCCTCTATCCCTCTACCTCATGGAGATGGTGCTGGAGGGAACTGGCTTTTAAGACGGCTCCCCCCTGTGCTGGCTCCTGCTCTCTTTCTCCCCCCCACCCTCCACCCATGCCTCTGATAGAGGTGGCAACAGGGTGGGGGTGGAGGAGCGACTAGTTGAGTCACAATTTGACTATCCAATAAGCTTATGCTTATCGGATAGTCGATTAGTTGCTTACATCCCCACTGCAGATATTTAAAATATTTTATAAATGTGAGGAGGATAGAACAGTCAGTGACTAAATGTATAGGTAAATGAAATGTATAAGTAAATGTTCCTCAGTCCTGCCAACAGTTAAGCAGAAGCTTAAATTATGCATTTGAATATTCCCATTGCTCTGTGTGAATAGGGTTACTAACATGTGAAGCTATGTATGGCTATGTGTAGACTGCCCTGTTAAATCAGAAAAAGATATGCAATTTGCAGTAGACAAATTGCAAATCTTTTTTTCAATTTACTTTCAAAAGAGGCTTTTTCAAAATTTGGCGCATCTGCACGGCACCAAATTTTGGAAAAAACTGCTCTTTTGAGCCATCCTTGAGATTATTATGATGAAGCTTATTCACTTGTTATGATTTCCACCACAAAATATTGGTCAGCCATGAGATGTTTACAGATTTTCAAGTGAAGTTGTAGAAAAATGGTCATGTGTGATCTGAGCTGATGCTTTGTATTGTCAGGTTTACATAAAACCCTTTGGAGTTCTGTGATGGGCTTGCTGTGACTGACATGAGTGCTTCTCAGAACAAACTTGACCTTGGCATTTTTTGCTTATGTGCGAACATCTTGCAATAATCTAGCCTGTGTTTCAGCCTTGCAATAATCAGTCTGTGTTTCAGCCTTGAACAGGGAATGTTTTGCAGGAAAAAAACCCAACAACAACAAATGGGGGAGATGTTATTTCTGCTAGTTATCATTAATGATCATAGATAACACTGAGACCTTGATTCCCCATCGGTTGGCGCTCTTTGCAACTTTACACTAACTCCAAACATTTTCAGTTGGTAGTGAAACAAAACATCCCCTTTTGCCTGACTCTATTCTGAATATTTCACTTATTTTGTCCACCTCTCTTTGCTTTTCAGTTTGTCATCAAACAGCTTTATATTCCTCTTTTTTTCCTCATACCGAGGGGTTAATTTAGATTTATAAACTACAGTGCCAATACTTGAAATGTTTGTTATACAATAAGCAGCTGCATACTTTATTAAAGTATCCAAGCAAACTGTAAAGATACAGTGTAATTTGAATTCTGGTAGCTTTCTTAAAATGATCACTTAAAATGACTGTTCAGGAACTAAATATCACTGTGCACAATATAAGTTATTTAAACTATCCTCAGCCATTCCTGGCAGCACCTTAAAGGGTCTTATGATTAGGATCATACTAAATTCATGGTCCATTTTGCTAAATTTCATGGTCATAGGATTTTTTTTAAAAATCACAATTTTACCTATTTAAATCTGAAATTTCATTGTTTTGTAACTGTAGAGGTCCTGACCCCAAAAGGAATTCTGGGGGCAGTTGCAAGGTTATTGTAGGAGATTTGGGGTACTGCTCCTCTTACTTTCGTGCTGCTGCTGCGAGATGTCATCTTCAGAGCTGGGCACCTGGCCAACAGCCACTGCTCTCTGGCCACCCAGCTTTGAAGGCAGCACAGAAGTAAGCGTGACAACCCTCTCTCCCCCAAATAACCTTGTGGGCCCCCCTGCAACTCTCTTTTGGGTCAGGACCTTCAGTTTGAGAAACACTGGTTTCCCCTGTGAAATCTGTATTGTATAGGGTAAAAGTACACAAAAGACCAGATTTCATAGTCCATGATGTGTTTTTCATGGCCATGAATTTGATAGGTCCCTACTTTTGATGAACACATCTGGTAACAGGACCATGACAGCTCCAAAGATAGTGTTGAAAACAGAGTAAGAACTCACAGTATTCCTATGCTCTAACCACTAGGAAATGCCTCTGGCAATCATGTTTTGCAGATTCTTAGTTAGGCAGAATACATCAAGATTATTTGCTTAATATGCTATTGATAATTAATCTATTTTCCAATTCAGAATAGAGATACTATAGTGTAAAATGTTTTTGAACTTATCAGGAATTGAGCTAACTTCTTTAAAGTTGGGGAACTGGCACTAATTACCATAGAATATTTTGTCAATATTTTTAGAATATTGAGTTATTTCTATAATTTTAGCTATATTACAGCTCACACTGATACAGAAGGAGAATCTGAAGAAGAAAAAGGATTACCTGCAGCATCTGCAAGACCAGAAAAGGAAACAGAATTATTTGATCTTCTGCAGCGCATGGACAGTTTGCATTGTGGTTCAGATGGTGATAAAAAGGAGAGCTTCAGACTGTTACTTGAGAGAGAGGAAAAGGTACTAAGGGATAAATATGCAATTATTTTCATAGTCCTGGCTGTCAGTTCACTACTGCATATGTTATCCTTTTAAGTCTTTGAAATGTTAAAGCTAAATACAGAAAATATGCAAGGTTTTGTACAACAGTTTACATTAATAACAAACATTCTAAGTGTCATCACATCAGTATTTTTGTTAGGGTAGCTGTAAAAGTTTGTTTTGGTTTGTACTAAAGTTAAACTATATCCAGTTCTAATTTGTTCATGCTTCTTAAGGAACAGACATGTTATGGACTTTTTTAGGCATAAGGAATAGTTTTCCCATTTTTTAAATGTATCTAAATGGAAAAGTCCTACAGCATTAAATAGGGAAGAAACCAATAGAGTGCTAAAGAAATTTATCATGTGTTTACAGAAATAACACTAAAAACCAATAGGGAGAAACCCACTGAAGCCAGTGAAGTGGTGACAGTTTACATCACCTGAGGATCTCACCGATAAAATTGAATAGAGCAATGGAGAATGTGTTTCCAGCATCCTATAGAATTCTATAGGAGAGTAGGACAGGGCGCTCACCTCTTGAGTGCTTCCTAATGGCTGGGTGTGGTACTGCAGACCTTTCTTGCATCTCACTGCAGATTTGTGGGTCTTCAATGGCTTAGCTCTTTAGCTAAGTCTCACAGTCCGTATGAATCCCCTCTAGGGTAACTCGGTTTCATCAGTGTGCCCTTAGCAGTGTGTTCAGCAATGCCTGTGGACCTTTTGAGTCTAGCCTTTTTCTCATGCTTTTAGTAAAGAGTCTCGCCTGGGACCTCAGCCCTGCTCCTTGGCCTTTTAAAATTAACCCCTTTTCTTGGGCGTTTAAACTAGATGTGCCCCCTTTCTAATGTTTAGGTCATTCCCGCACTTGCTGGTGAGGGACCTGCTCCACCCGGCTCCTCCAGGTCCCAACACCCAGCAGCCACTAACTGCTCTCTCCAGTTTGCTGCTGTTATTCCTTGGGCCTTTCCCCATGCAGCACCCTTCTCTTTGCCATATCTCAGAGCTTAAGTTCTCGGAGCGTCTTCCTCCTCTCTGAATGCAAATACCACCGGAAGCCTTATGCTTTTCTCTAGCACTCCTGTGACCACAGAGGAGCACCCTTCCCAGCTCCTCTGGTCAGAGACAGCAATTCACCCGTTTGGGCCTTGTAGCTCCTTTTATCTGAGTCTGCTGGGCTCTGATTGGCTTCTGCCATGTAGTCTGTCTAGTCGGGCCTATAGAACCTATCTTTTCATAGGGCAGAGGTGGTACAGTGATTCTTAAACTCTTGTACTGGTGACTCCTTTCACAGAACAAGCCTCTGGGTGCCACCCAGTTTATAAATTAAAACCATTGTTTTTTATATTTAACACTCTTATCAGTGAGGTGTAGCAAGGTTTACGGTGGAGGCTGACTGCTTGTGACTCCCCATGTAATAATCTTGCAACCCTTTGAGGGGTCATAACTCCAGTTCGAGAACTCCTGGTGTAATAGGACTGCATGGCCTCAAGCAGGGGGCTACAAAGGCCTGGTATACCCCATTACAGGGGGTTATAATTCTCTATTAAATTCAAAAGGGTGATGTGAAAAACCAGTAGAAAGCTACAATTTTCTGGTACACTCCCTAAGACTGGGATAGTCAACTATTTTTTATCAAGGTCCAGATTTCCTGGTGAAGCTATAGTCAAGGTCCATACTCTAGAGTAATTAATAATAAAGCAATAACAATAATAAAAAGATTTTGGAGTCTGTGCAAAACCGTCTGGCGATGCAAATTTGACCCATGATTTGCCTATTTACTACCTACACTAGGACTTTTTCTGTAAAATGAGTTTGACCTGTCCTTGAAATCACTGGAAGTTTAAGGTGTGGTAATCAATACAGTGTGCACTCTTCCTACATTTCTTCTGGGTAGGCAGAGATATTAGTGATTCTGATAGGATTCCTCATTTGAGTGTAGAAAATAGCTGTCAGACTGGTAGCTATGATACTTACTGTGAGTGTATGATGCGTATTTTATTTCATACATTTAAAAAAAAAAAAGCTTACTGCATGATATATTTTATAACAGGTTACCTTTTTTATGTGATGATGAACAGTTTTATAGAAAGTCCTTTTGCACAAATAACCCAAAAACCTGTACAAATCTAATACACCGGTACTAGCTAAGTCTCCCGGTATTTATTTCTCTTTGTAGAAATCTACCATGCTCACCAAACATAACAAAACTAGTATGGCAGAAATAAAATAGCCAAATGGGGGTGGAGTCAGGAGGGAGAGAATAAATATGCTGTTAACTTATTTTAACTATTATTCAAGGAAGCTATTTAAAATTATCTTTACATTTTGGTCAATTTCATTGTCTAATATATCTGCTTTTTCCTTTTCCATTCAGTATGGAAACCATGTGGAGTTTCTTTGGAGATTTGCACGAGCTTATGGAGATATGTTTGAGATGACTACAGATGTTGAAGAAAAGAAGAAATATGTTGCTAGTGGTAGGTGGAGTAAAAAGCTGGCTAGATAAAATGGCACCTGACTGTTGTGAAGAGGCTCATGCTGTCAACTTATTGTAGTCCAAGCAGTTTTGTAATCTGTTTGATTATGAGAGCATTTAGACCTTGATGAAAATGTTTTGTGTGATAAAACTGCCACAAGTTTTGGAATCAAACACTTAGTTTCACTCTGCTCAGAAGAGTTCTTGGAAGGGGTTTTGCCAATCAGGATTCACTCTAGTCGATGCTTTTAATGCTTAAATGTGAGCCAGACTGACACAGAATTAAAATTAACAAAGATCATCAGCCTGATGACAGCTAAATAAATGCCAAGGCAAAGCCAATATTTTTTCCCCTAGGGTAAAGGTAGAGGTCCAGGGTTTCCTGCCCTACAGTCTAGTAACCTTGTCTTAGGTGAGGAGGACTGAATATGACTCATTCTGGAGCCTGGGAATTCTGGGGACTAGAAGCAATGCTAGAGACTGGAAAGCAGAACATGCTGCATCCACATCACCTCGCCTGTCAATCCATCATCTCATCCTGCATGTCCTGTTGTCTGATGAATCTCAAACTGGTCAAAACTGAATTCCTGATTTTTTTTCTTTCACATTACTTTCTTTTTCCTTTGTAATTTTCCAAAGCATCACCATACTGGCCATCACTTGAGTTTATGATCTAGACCAGCATTTCTTTAAGCGTGTTCCACAGTACACTGGTGTGACATAGAGAGAACAGAATTAAAAATGGTTGCCCTTAAAGGGGCAACACTCCTTTTTTTTTTTTTTGCGCAACAACTTTTCCCTGGGGCGGTGTTTCCCAAATGGTACTCCACGGAACCCCGGGGTTCTGTGAAGTGGAACTCAGGTTTCCCCAAAAAATTCTTCTCCCTTGCTCCCTGCAGAGCCCATAGGCAGCTCCTGCTGTGGCTGTCCCCTCCCCAGCCCACAGGACAGCCCCTGTCCCACAGGTCCTCCAGTGCTGCGCAGCCTCCTCCTCCTCCACATATGCAGGTGGCAGTTTTTACAGTGGCTGCTGTTGCTGGGAGGGGGAGGAGTGGCCGAAGCTGAGGAGCTGCTCCCAGACCTTGGAGTTTTAAAACTGCCGCCTGCAGGGAATCTGGCTCATGCTCTGCCGCCCCCTCCCCTCCCACCACCTGGGGTGTGTTCGGGCTCTGTTGTCCCCCCTCACCACCTGGGATGCACTCGGGCTCTGCTGCCCCCCTCCCCTTGGGGCATGCTGGGGCTCTGCTGCTCCCCCCCACCTGGAGCATGCTTGGGCTCTGCTGTCCTCACCCCCTTGGGGCATGCTCGAGCTCTGCTCCCCGCCCCACCTGGGGTGCCCTCAGGCTCTGCTGCCCCCCCGCCTCGGGGTTTACTTGGTCTCTGCTGCCCCCCATGCGCTGCTGCTCTCTCTCCCCTGCGCCCCTCCCCAGCCCTGCTGGCGGGGACGGTCGAGGTTTCTACTCGGAGGTCTGCTTTTTTTTTCTTGACAAAAAATAAAATCATTGGTGTTCCCCATAAAAAAAAATATTGTTTGGTGTTCCTCAATCTTAAAATGTTTAAGAAACACTGATCTAGACAGTGCTTGGTCCTGCCATGAGGGCAAGGGACTGGACTCAATGACGTCCAGTTCTAATGGTCTGTGATGTTATGATTCTATAACTGGGAGGCTGTCGTTTGCTTTCTCTTCCCAGTCCTGCACATTTAAATCTAAATCTTTTCACTTCTTTCTCTTCCAGTGTCTTTAGCATCTCTAGTAATTCATTGAGAAATGCTCATCCAGCCTGTCTTGATCTTGACTATTGCAACATTCGTCTCTCTTCCCTCTCTCAGATCCACATTGCTTCCTCCTCTTCCATACAACACACTGCCACTAAAATCATCCTACTTGCCCATCTCTTGGATTACATCATTCCCCCTGTACTTCATTCACTGGCTCTGCATCAAATTTAGTTTCTCTTTATTGCTATCAGACCCCTACATAATCCACCCTTTCCTTGCTTATCCCTTTGTCTTGTTCTGAGTTTTCATTAACCTACTCCGCTTCCCCAGCGATGCCAGCCTGAACCATTCCTTTGACAGCTTCTCTCCCACACACCACCTCTCCATGCCTTCTTTTGTACTACACATAGCATGTCCTTTCTGAGCTGCTCCTTAGGATACCTGCTTTGTCTGTCAGCCAGTCTCTCAAGAAGATTCATCTTTGTCATGATTCCTGTCAGAAACTTGCAGGCTGATGTTGTCTTGTTTCATGACTGGCTTTGATATGTTAATAATAAACACAAGTGTATCTTTGTTATCTCCCCTTCCACTTACTGCCTATTTGTTTACATGTCTCCTTTGGGCAGGGAAGTTGCCATCTTTGCATGGAACGTGCTCAGCACACTGGAGCTACCAGTATAAACAATAATAATATATATATACACACTTTGGACTCAGATAATTTGCTGCTGCACGTGATTAATTTTAGCACTTGATGGGAGATAATGATAAGGTGCAGGGCAGAGATGAGAAGCAATGGTGGTATGTAAAGTAGGTCATTGGTATTTATGTGATCAGCTGTGTTGAGTGACAGTCTGTTCAGATATTAATCCTGCAGTGGCTCGATATTCTGAGTTCTAAAGTCTCTTGCAGTGATTTTTTGTATGTTTGTTTTTGGAAGAGGCTCAGAGAGAACGGTTTCTAAAGGGGACTTGGCACAGTCACTTATTTTTAATTCCAACTGGACAGAGGATTATTTGTTTTACCTCTTGTTTTTCTAGTTATTTATAAAAATAATAATATTAATAAAAAGTGTGGCTTAATTGGTTACAGAAAAGGCTTTAAATACAGCAAGCTCATCCTCCGGACTCCTATTCAAAATTTGACTTGGGCCAACTCACTTAATTTCTTTATTCCTGAGTCAAAAGGAGAACATCACTGAAAACCAGTTGAGTGCATCTGAAATGAACTATTCTAAGTAAACAAAAGTATAAAAAATGCATTTGTGTATATTGAACGTACTGTGAATCCATAATGTTACAATATCCCTTTCAATGTTTAAATGGAATGTCAAATTGGTTTCTTTTTATAGAAAATTTATATAACCTCAATATGTAGTTCCTGGCTTTAATCTAAGATAGTGAGGTCCTTTAGAACAGGTTGAACCTCGCTAGTTTGTCACCCTTGGGACCTGACTATGGGAAGTCAGTATTGTCTAGCAGCATTACCAATACTTCCACTACTTACTGGGCTCTTAGAAGACAATTAGAGGTCAATTAGAGCTAAATAACAGCACAGAACACTGAGAGCAAGGACTGGTGTCTGTAAACAAACTTTAGGGGACCACAGGAAACTTGGTCATGTCCATGAGAAGTGGACATTCAGCTAACTAAAATCATGCTGGACTATGGATGTTGCCAATTAGAGAGGTTCAACCTCTCTAATCTTTATATATCTTTATTTCTTTTACAGGAAAAATTGTAGCTGAAAAAGCTATTCAGCTGGATGCCATGAGTGCTGAGAGTCACCAGTGGTAAGTTTGAATAATGGAGAAATGTTGTTTGTATTAAGGGTTTCTGCAAAGTCAGAAAGCTGAAATTGTCTATAAACAATGTCCACAACAAATCCTATAGCAGTTAGTTACAGGTTGCATACTTTTATTGCTGTAGATTATTGGTTGACTATCAATTTTGCAGGTTAGCTGTTTATAATTTGCTGTAAACTTGCTTCAATTTATGGTGAAATAAGGCACTGTATCATTTTCCACTAAGTATAATGAAAGGCAGGAATGAATATTTGATTACATGAGTATCTCCTATAATTTTCCATTGTCTTTGTTTTCTTAACCTAAACTATGCAAAACAGTTCCATGTTTGACATTATTTTCTTTGTGATATTATTTTTCCAAGCTCATGCAAATGCACCCATCCAAAGTTCTAGATGAACTTAAATATGTAGCAATAAAAGTTAAATAATAAGCGCCACATTTGAAACCCTTTTCCATATTGAGCAGTATCTTTCTATGCAAGTAATCCCTCTGGAATCCAGAGTTTTAACACATTATGATAATAAATTAAATGGAAAAAAATCATAGGAATTTTATAAGAATAGCTAATTATGAAAAACAACAAAACAAAAAGTAAACAGTGTAAAAGAAGAGAGGGACAAATGGGAAATAACCGCTTATGTGAACATTTGGAGATTATGGGACATTCAGATATTAAGTTCTGCATTTTATCATGTTACTTGATGAAATGTTGTTAGTTTGGAATTTCAAGATATTGGCCAAATGTCCATCCAAAATTGAAAATTCTCCCACATCCTGATACAACAAGAAAGAAACTGTGAGAGTAGTGAATGATTTGCAGCTTTAATAGGATGCCAACAACTTAGGGTCTTATGGATCAAAGGAAAAAGGAAACTCCAAACTCATTTATTCAGCTCCCTATTGTTATAAACCAGGGGGTTATTTGCTGCAGCACTTTAGTTAATCTCATAATACATTGTGAGGAGTAGGTGACGTTATGGGGTATGTAGGCCTATACAGGTTAATTCCGATAACATAAATTGTACCTGAAAAAGAAGAGTAGATGGCCAGTGCAGACTATGAAGATCAAATGTGAAGTGTTCTTTATGAGGAACATTGCATTACAAATGGGCCAGTAACTTCTAGACTACCAGAACTTTTTTCTATAGTTTTACTTTTGAAAATTAATATATGTTTTCCTGTAGCTTGATGTAAAAATTAGAGTCATGAACAAAAATGACACATGAAAAGTTGGTACTAGAGTTGGGCAAAATTTAGAATTTCTGTTGCAAGAGAAATTCCAACATTTCAGAATTTTTTTAGTCTCAAATTGGAACAAAAAGTCAACATTTCCTGAAAAAAAGTTGAAAGAAATATAGTTTGATGATATCAAAATGCCCTCATTAAGGCACTTTGTTTCAGTAAGACCAAAGGGCTTTGTGTGTACTACTACATTCTACAGTAATTTTAAGGTAATATAATATAGTTGAAACAAATTGTTTTGATCTTATTAAAATAAAGCACTTATCAAAGTCTATGGCTACATCTACACTGGCATGATTTTCCGGAAATGCTTTTAACGGAAAAGTTTTCCATTAAAAGCATTTTTGGAAAAGCGCGTCTAGATTGGCAGGATGCTTTTCTGGAAAAGCACTTTTTGCGGAAAAGCGTCTGTGGCCAATCTAGACGCGCTTTTCTGCAAAAAAGCCCCGATTGCCATTTTCGTGATCGGGGCTTTTTTGCAGAAAACAGAACTATGCTGTCTACACTGGCCCTTTTGCGCAAAAGTCTTTCGGAAAAAGACTTTTGCCCGAACGGGAGCAGCATAGTTTTTCTGGAAAAGCACTGATGATTTTACATTAGATCGTCAGTGCTTTTCTGGAAATTCAAGCAGCCAGTGTAGACAGCTGGCAAGTTTTTACGGAAAATCAGATGATTTTCCGGAAAAACTTGCTAGTGTAGACACAGCCTATATGTTCCCATGAAATGTTTTAAGTGTGACTGTCAAGGCTGTTCCCCACTCTGGCATGACGAATGCAGGAGTTGGGGGCTCACAAGAGCACTCCAAAACCTTGCCTCCACAGGCTCTGGTATAAAAACTCCTCTCCCCCCCCAATCCTAATACCCAGATTTTGGGGAATCCGTTGCTACCACCCAGGTAATTCCAAGAAAAAAAAAACAGGGAAGAGATCACTTGGGAAATCTCTTTCCTAAGGTAAAACTCTCTCCTCCCCCAACCTCCATTTTACTTGGAGTTGGGAAAAACAGGGAATCCAGAGATAGCCATGGACTCTGTCCTTGTCACTAGGCACTGAGTCCTAAGGACACAACAATCAACCAATCCCGGTTAATTAGAAAAGAAAACAATCCTTTATTATCCAAACAAAACTGCAGTTGCAAGCATAGTAAAGTGGCTAGATAGAAAGAGCCACCAATTGATATAGATACTCAGAGAAAACCCCTGGGCTAACAGACTTAGTTACAAAAGAAAAACCCCCACAATTAACAGCTCAGACGTTATTTCCACATCCCCAAACAAGGAAAACAATAAATCCCGGTGGACTAGCTAAACTGTTCCCTACTTACACATTGTAAGAAGTCCATTCTTAGAGAAAGAAGTGTCTCCCATCTCCCTCAGTACGTTGAAGAAACTGCTCTAAACCTCAAACAAAGGACAGAGAGAGAACCTCTTTTCCATTATGACAGTGACAAATCAGCATACCTGACAGAAAGATATTCCATCAAAAATTGTCTGTTTGTTTCAGGTTGAGTTTCCTCAGTGCTGCTATTTTATCTATTATTTACTTCTTTTCTCCTTTCTGATGAAAGTTTTGTTGCTGTTTCTTTCCAGTGTCAGTTTGCTCATTCTTTACTATTTATCATATTAGTCTGCCTGCTAGGTTGAGGTCCCCACTTCATTGTGTTGTCTCTGAACAGTTATTCTTGAGAGAATTGCTGTACTCCTAAAATGGTGTATCCTTCCCCTTCATTGATGTTCATATCACTTCCCCTTCATCCATCTCTACTTTCTGGCTATGGGCCATTAAAGAGGTATTTTATGGAAGGGGAATTTCGGCTTTGCAAGAGGACATTACCCTTCAAGGCTTTTAATTTATCCTCTCTTCCATGCTGACCTTATCATAGTTTATAAGTAAAATACTATAATGATAGGCCTCCTCTAATGGGAAAGTACATACAAACGTGCGGAAACCAAAATTAGACCAATCAAAAAACTTGTTCTAGAGGCTGAAGTGTGGAAGGAAGTTCCATGCTTCTTAACATGGGGTGTGTCTTTTTTTTTCCAGCAAAAGTATATATGTTGTATAGTTTTTCATCCTTGTATTTTAAGTGCAAACTTTTCTTTTACTATGCAACCAGTGACACAGTGTCTTTTCAAAGACATAATGGCATTGTAAGTTTCATTAGTTTGGAAAGATCAAGTGCTCAGCACTGGTGGTGATTTTAAGGATTGATATGCTATAGACTGTCAAGTAGTTTATAATTCCACTTTGTTTTTGAAGAATATTGCAATATTTTACATTATTCCCCCAATTAGTATAGGATAAGGGTTATCTATAGTTCACTCTGCACATGTGATACAGATGGGCTGCAATAACAAAAGCAACAATAGTATAGTATAATTCCTAGCAGTCAGCTAAGTCTACTTATCTGCTTTTATTAAGGTCATAAACTTTTGTCACTTGAGGCTATGAAAAAAACACCCCCTTGGCGGCATACGTTTTGCCAGCATCAGCACTCATGTGCACAGTGCTATGTTGGCTCTCCCACTGCCATGCTCCTGGAGCTGGGAGGAATCTGGTGCTACAGAAGTGCTCTTATAGCTGTGCTGCTGTAAGTGGAGACCTGCCCTAAGTTTGTATAGTTCTTTCTCTTTGTCTTTCTTCCTTGATGAGAGACACTTATAATCTAATAACAAGGGGGAAATGAAATTTAATTAGACCATTCAAAATTGTACAGCAAATTATTATTCCTTGCTCTTGTGGAAGAAAATTTGTTGTATAATTTGGCAGTAATGTTTCCCTGGATTTTATTTTGTCTGTCTGTTGGGAACATAACATCTATCCGTCTCAGAGGGTGAAGATGATAAGATTTCAAAAAAGCATGTCTCGGAAGTTGATCTCTATTAAGTAGGAGCTCTAATTAAACGTAAATAAATTTCTGTATGTACCAAGCCAAGGAAGCTCAGCAACCATGAAGTATAATTGATTGAAAGGGAATGTCTATCCAAGGACTGTTAATTCTGGCTTTCTTTTCCTACCCATTCAGATTATTTAGATTTATTTGTCCTGATAACCATATTCTGGATGTTCTATGTTAACCCTGGTGACTTTTTAGCTTGTTCAGAAAAGTCCTGTGATATGAGAACAAGTGATGGGCATTCTCAGCAAAGACAAATATGCCTTTCAACCAAGAAATACCTTTGTGTCTGCCAGGAACTATAGGCTGGAAGCTCTGGCTTCAGCTGGGATTGTGTGGGCTGAAGCCCTGATCCCTGACTGGAGCCCTGGGGGGCAGAAGTTGGAGCTCAAGCAGGAACTTAAAGCCCTGGAGGGTGGAGCCACCAGCCTAGGTCCCTAAGCCCAGGCAGGAGCTGGGGATGGAGGGAGGAATCCCTGAGCTCTGGTACCCAGAAACCCAGCTAGAGCCTAGGAGGAGGAAGCAGCCCCCGAGCCTGGGCAGGAGCTGTGGGGAGGGTGGGGGGCAGCTCAGGCAGGAGCTGTGATGGGCAAAAGCCTGCAGGGAGAAGGAAGCCCTCAGCCCAGGTCTTTGAGCCCAAGCAGTACCTGCAGGAGGTGAAAGTCTAGAACCCCGGAAGGAGGGGAGGAAGGAGCAGCAGCAGCTCTGAGCCCCGGCAATGACCACCGGTGGGGCAGGGAGTGGAGGGGGAATCCCTGAGCCTGGGTAGAGCTGTGGGGGCTGGAGCTGCAGAGGGTGGAAGCCCCAAGTCCCACCTGACGCCCTCGCACTTCCAGCCCCAGCCTGAT